TATCAAAATATTCCCCCTTTTCGAGATATAAAGCATCAAAGATTTAACATTCTGGCCCCTTCTGACCCCTAATTACGTAACATATGATCAAAATTGTATCATACATTGTTGAAACTCTTTAAGATAAATACTTCTGCTTCAGTAATGAATAACAGAATATTGATCATTAGAGAGTTATAGATAAAAGACCTTTGGCCCCTTTGAGCCCCTAATTTGAGGGGTCAGTTCTTGATATCAAATGAAAGGTCTTGTGATTTTAAAGACTTTTTATTCAACAACTATTCAGAGATTTCTTTTCGTTTAGGAGATGTGCTTTATATAAATATTTAGGGGCCACCCCGACAAGTCCTTAATGGGGCCATTTTACAAAAATTCAAAGTATGCATATTGTTTAGATCATTATTCTGACCATCTTTTGTTCAATATTGCTTATCAAAATTTTCCCCCTTTTCGAGATATGAAGCGTCAAAGATTTAGCATTCTGGCCCCTCGTGACCCCTAATTACGTAACATATGACCAAAATAGTGTAATATATTGTTGCAAATCATTAATATGAACAACTTTGCTTCTGTAATGTATCACAAAATATTGATCATGAAAGAGTTAAAGATGAAAGACTTCTAGCCTCTCTGAGCCCCTAATTTGAGGAGTCAGCCCCTTTTTCTTGATATCAAACGAAAGGTCTTGTGATTTCAAAGACTTTTTGTTCTACAACTATTCAGAGATTTCTTTTCGTTAAGAAGATATGCTTAATATAAATATTTAGGGGCCACCCCGACAAGTCCTTAATGGGGCCATTTTACAAAAATTCAAAGTATGCATATTGTTTAGATCGTTATTCTGACCATCTTTCGTTCAATATTGCTTATCAAAATTTTCCCCCTTTTCGAGATATGAAGCGTCAAAGATTTAGCATTCTGGCCCCTCGTGACCCCTAATTACGTAACATATGACCAAAATATTAAAATATATTGTTGCAAATTGTTAATATGAACAACTTTGCTTTTGTAATGTATCACAAAATATTGATCGTTAAAGAGTTAAAGATTTTTCTGAGCCCCTAATTTGACGAGTCAGCCCCATTTTCTTCATATCATGTAATAGTTCTTGTAATTCTGCACAACTTTCGTTTTATATGTCTTAACAAATTATAAAGAGATAAGAAGATATGAAACAAAAGGTGTCAAATTTTGTGAGATGTTTCTGAGATATTTTTTCGGGCCCTACCGAGCTTCGGCGCCTTTTGCGCTAGAAAGATTTGGACACCAGCCCGCAACTCTACAATTCTTCCTCTACTTTCACTGAAAATCTTAAGTCAATATCTTAAGTCGTTTCGGAGGAGTTTCCCGGACAAGCCTACCCTATAAAAATCAGAAATTTCATAATATCTCGAGATAGGAAGTGGCGTCATCGCCGAAAAAAATTTCCAATAAGGTTCAGACCAATACCTATCAGATCTGAAAGTTTGATGAAAATCGGATGAGCCACTACCGAGAACTCGCGTGCACAAAATCGGTAAGAATAATAATAATAATAATAATAGGGAAAAAGAAACCGAACGAAAACAATAAGGTCTTCCGTTGGAAACGGAAGACCTTAATAAGAAACAGTAGAATCACTAGAAGGTCTTCCGCTGAAGATGGAAGACCTTAAAAAGTAATTTAATGTATAGGATTTTTGTCATGAATGAATTATCTGCTTTCTGTAACAACAGCATTCATCTGTCATGAACAGGGCTGACCAGCCATTGTATACGCACCCCGTACGAAATTTAAGTCACGTATTTTTAAAAAAATCCAGGCGTATTTTAATCTAAAAATCCTTGTGGAAATCTCTATTGAAATGAATATATAAAACCAGGCGTATAATGTAAAATACAGGCGTACACGAGGCGTAATCCTCCCGTATTTTTGGCCGAAATATGCAAATGAGTACGCCTGGAAATTCAAAATACGTCTAGAAATTTTAAAAATAGATCGAAGTACGCCTAGATTTCAAGCATACCCTTAAAAATACGCCTGCAAAATAAATACGCCCGTATAAAAGAATACGCCCGTACAAAAAAATACGCCTGCTTTAAATAGATTTGAATTAAATATTAATTATATTACAGCAATGGGAGCTACAACTATAGCATGAATATAAATGTACAATCAACTTTAGTACAAAGATTTTTGACTAGACATATGCTAAAAAAGATTAGACAAATTAAGCTAAGCATACATCACTTTTATTTTCTTAATATTTTTCAGTGTGATAAAATGTAAATGAGATTCATTAGTAATTAAAGGATTGTCATTAAAATTTAAAATCATAATCTTACATTTACTTTTTCAAAGCACAGTTACATGTTAGAATATATTAATCGTTTCACAGCATTTTAACATCCAAGGCTGAGTTTTATAATAAACAGTTGAAACATTCCAATAATCACAGTGAATCACAGTTTTGAGAATCATGCCGAGTACTCCTGCCATTCTTTTTACTCCTAAATTGGCATAAAAGATGCAAATCACGAGCAATTCTGTCATTCACGTTTCACATCACATTTCCCAATCACATTTTCATAGATTGAAATATTCACAAAAAGAAGTTTGAATGCTTTATAACTGGCATTGCAAACAGTCATCTTCTTCCTGATGCAATCTTCCAATGGCTACAGTTCACTGGCATTATTGCATTTATGGAAAGCTATGCTGCTGGTCAACTCTTAATACTGCAAGATCTTTTCTCCTCCTCTTATGACCATTTCATCATTCAATCAATTTTCCAACTGTGATAAGGATTTAGATGTAAATCATTTTCTGGAAAAAGAATAATTTATGTAATTCAAAATACTACTGACCCAATTTTCAATCATTAACATCTGGCTCTGCAAATCAAAAGCAAATGCAGCTGTCTTTTTATTTTCATAGATAAAAAAGTTTCAATGTTAAGCTATGTTTTCAAAATATTTACCTCTTCTACACCATCTGTGCTTTGTTGTGGCTTTCTCTAATCTCATTGTTCTTGGCATGACCTGCCTGGTGGTTTAAAATTGGCGCAAATACTTGGATGCAGATGCTGTTATTTACAACCCCCTAGTTAGCTAAACTCTTTTATGACTTCTGGAAGTTCTACTCAGTACAATTTGTAATTTTGAAGAAAAATGCTGTTTTGTTTACAGCTAGAACATAAAAATAAAATTTCATCAATGTATAAACAAGGTGTATTCATTATATGAATTAAAAAGATACTGGGGTGGGAAATAGAACTGCTGTACACAAACCGGATATAAATTGATAAGCCGTTCTTAGGTTTACAACATCACAGATAAGTCGTTCCTAAACATGCTCAACACATCTGTAAGTAATTAGCACAAAGTGAAAGTTGATGGTAATGTAACAGAGTATCTTAACCCGTACGAACAGTCCGGGCGGCTTAGACACGGCTCAGGCACGGATTCCGTCTCCAAAAACCCGTGCTTTAGCATTCCGTGCTCCTATGTAAAGTATGTATGGAAAACCGTGCCTAAAAGTGGTCGAGGCACGGACACGGCACGGTATATTGGCCGAAATATTTAAATGAGATCACACGGTTTTACAAAACAAGTGTCAGAAAGCCGTGCTAGTTTCCATATATATATGGACTCACGGATTCTGTGAACCCGTGTCCTTTTCCATATATGGAAACACAGTTTTTTGGAAACCCGTGTCAAAAAAGCCGTGCCGTATACCATATAAGGAGTCACGGGATCTGTGCATTTGTTTAGACAGGTCATGGCCTTTAGAGACTGTGGAAAGAAACCAAATTAACTTCACATTGATTTGCTTAGTTTTAGAACAAAAGTTAAAAATCTTACATGAATCATTTACTTTCTGTTAAAGATTAACTTTAAGTTACAATCCATCTAGTTTTTAATAAGATTTTAATGATAATGTACTATTCAATCTACTAGCTAAATTTGCACAATCTGAGAAAGAATTTAATTTTAAAACTTTCACTAGACAGTGATGTCACATTTAGTGAAAGTCCAACTAAAGTCATTCAAAAAACCTAAACTATTTCAATTCATTTTAACATCAGAGGAAGATCATGAAAAAAAAATTGACTTATTTATTCTAGATTACACTTACTGCATTTAGTTCAAAAGTGAATAAATTATCCCAGACTGACATAAATACAATTCCAAAATTTTGACTTAGCTCATGACCATGAACAAAGTTATGATAATGCTCAGTAAAAAGCCGTGAGATATAAATAAATAGTTTGAACCAAAACCCGCCTTAGTTAAAATAATTCCTCCAAAGTTTCTTGAAAACCACGGAAGCCGTGTCCGTGTCTTGGACAAGAAGCTTTTTAAAAAATCGCCGTGCCCAAAAATACGGGTAAAGAGTACCAAATTTCATTTTATAAGAAAAACATTTAATGGTAATAACATGTAAACAATAATGAAGTTCAAAGAATATACTATCTACTTTACAGTTATGATCAATAAGAAAAATAATAATTTTTAAAAAAAATGGGAATGACAAAATTTTAGGTCCGCTAAAAAAAAAGTTCCAAAAGAAAAAATCAGTTTAATATATGAAAAATAATTGCTTTGATATTTAATGCAACAATAAATGCAATATTTTTAAATGTATACATTCATGCAATACTTTGGTTTTTTTTTTGGTTTAAGTTATATAATATAATAAAAATGTTTCTTATGCAACTCAATACTTTAAAAAAAAGAGAATGTTGACTAAGTTTTTTTGGCTAAGTTGAAAAATCCACCCGAATTTTAAAAAATACGCCTTTTGAAATTTTCTAAGTTTTAATTTCCATGTGCCAAAGAGACTAAGTAGAAAATACGCCCGGATTTAGAATTTACGCCTGGAAAAAAGGAGACGTATTTCTGGCAAAAATACGTGTACGCCTGAAAATGAACCGTATTTTTAAGAATACGTCTCTTGTACGCCAGGATTTGCAAAAAATCCAGGCGTAATACGTCTCTGAATTTCGTACGGGACCACATCACCAGCTTTTATATCTTGAGGACGAAAAGAGGAAGTGTATTTTTGACATCCGTCAACGACAGCTTGGACACACCTTCCAAGCACATGATGAACCAATCAGATGTCTAGCCATGGATCCAGAGGAGGAGTACTTTGTCACTGGGTCTGCTGAGGGAGATATAAAGGTCAGTAATGAAAGAGAATACAGAAAAGTGCAAGCACCAGACAACGGTTTTAAATAAGGTCCCCTGGAATACTAGTAAACTGCTCCATCAAGGCATCCCACCACTGGCAATTGAACCTGGCTGACTCCCAAACCTTTTGATCAGAGACTAAAGAATTTTCTCATTAAACTTTATTTTAAACATTAGAGAACATGCATTTGATGGTGTTCTAAGTGTTAGATTAGTGACAAGTGAATAACCTGGCAGAGAAGAGTTTGGGTTGGTTTCTTTGGGGGAGGGTGGGTGGTATATGAGAACTTTCAAGCAGGGGGATTGTTAAGCAGTCAGGAAGGTACAATATAAAGTGATCAGATGGGTGGAATGATGGAGCATCTGGCTAGTGTCTCAGGGGCCCTGGTCTGCTCTGTTGCATTTTTCTTTACAACAAGGTTTTAAAAAGAGAAATACACTCAAGGAAGAACAATTGTATGTACACAAGATTTATGATTTATTTATTTTTCAGGTCTGGGGTTTGGATGTTCATCAGCTGGTTGTCAATTTCCCAGGAGAACACCGTAAAAGTATATTTTTTAAGAGCATTGGTTCAGCCTCAGGTCACTGTAACACAGGTAGCCATTTGGCCAGAACATAATCTGTTTTCTTGTGGAATTGATGGATCCATGAAGTTTCGATCACTACCCGAGAGGGAAACCATGGTGCCATATTGGACAGCATAATTATATATTTATTTTAGTGTAGAGCAGATGTGGCATGTTTATTGAAATAGCTTAATTACTATAAATGGTCACATTCTGTATTTCAATGTTAAAGTGGATTCTGAGATACATGTACTAGCTTTTAACCACTCTATAAGATTAAGATAATCTAATTGTGTTCAACAGAAAGCTTTGTGGCAACGCACTTGAAAAAATTACGCACTTTGAAAAAAAATTTTCAAAGTGGGTTAAAATTGGGACAAAATTGAAAAATTTTTCAAAGTGCGTAAAGAGTTTACATTAATATATTTTATCATGGAGACACTTAATGCACTTTGAAAAAATATGTAAAAACAAAAAAAAATTCTGGATTCAGATTTTAGTAATGGAAAGATTATATTTGTAATTTATCTTTCAAAACACTTATGCATTGATTTACTCCCGTTGAGAAGAGGAGAAGACAAATAGAAAATCTATCAGTCCAAATCTTTATCATTCCAATACATAGGCGTCAGTAACAAATAAAACGTGGGAGGGGAGTAATAAACCCCAAAAAGGAAAAGCCGCATTTTCAATGCTTATATGATGTATATCTTTCCAAAAGAAGTGGGGAGCTAAGCCCCCTTCTCTTGCCCTTCGCCCAGTTTCGATGCCTATGCTATACCCAAAACAGGTACATGTATGTATATGTAATATTTTACATAACTGGTATGACGTTGAAAACTTTAAATAAAAAATGAGTCAACTTAAAACAGATGAAAACTAAAAATATGTAAGTAAAGTAAAACATATGAGAGAGAAAGAACTTTCATAGATTTGAAAAATCAAACTGACCACTTTTTAAGATAAATTCAATGCTTTAAGTCGTTCACTCTTAGCTCCCCCCCCCCCCCCCTTTACATCTACCTATAATATTACATACTAGAATTTTTAAACAGAAACAAAATAAACAAAATAATGATATTAAACTTTCTATTTTTTCTAAAAGACCAATTTCCTGTTTATAACATTTATCAGAACCTAAGATATTTAAATATTCAATATCTCGTGTCCTGAAGTGACCTCATCATAAAAAAATTATCTAACCAGGGTCAATTATTTATCATACCGATTATTTGTGAGAACATTGATCAAGCTTTACATTTTTTTTCAAAGTGCGTTAATATGGTCGATATTAACGCGCTTTCAAAAAAAATTATTTTTTTCAAAGTGCGTTTAGCTTGGTCCCAAATTTGAAAATTTAAATTTAAGTGCGTAATTTTTCAAAGTGCGTTGTAACAAAGCTTGTATTGACTGCTATGAAGGACTTTTATTTATTTTTGGAATTCTTTATTTTGTGCCATTGATTTGAATTTAAGTTATTTGTTATAAGTCCCATAACACATTCTGTGATTGGTAAATGTAAGTTATTGATCAGAGTTTGAAATGTGTCTCAGTAGTATATGTATGTGTAACATTATACATGAATGACCATTGTATGTCCATAAGCTTTTTAGCTCACCTGAGCCAAAGGTTCAAGGAACTTTTCTGATCACATTTTGTCCATTGTCCGTCCATCTGTCCGTCTGTAAACTTTTCATATTTTCGACTTCTTCTCAAGAACCACTGGGCCAATTTTACCTAACTTGGTACAAAGCATCCTTGAGTAAAGGGTAATTTAAATTGTTAAAATGAAGGGCCAAGTCTTCTCACAAAGGGAGATAATCAAGAAAAGATAAAAAGAGGGTGGGGTCATTAAAAAATCTTCTCAAGAACCACTAGGCCTGAAAAGCTGAAACTTATGTGGAAAAATCCTGAGGTAGTGTATATTCTTAATTGTACAAATCATGACCCCCGGGGGTAGGACGGGGCCACAATGAGGAAATCAAAGTTTTACATGGAAATATATAGAAAAAATATTTTGGTCATATGTCCTTTTTTAGCTCACCTGAGCCAAAGGCTCAAGTGAGCTTTTCTGATCAAAATTTGTCCGTTGTCTGTTGTCGTCATTCTTGTTGTAAACTTTTCACATTTTCATCTTCTTCTCAAGAACCACTGGGCCAATATCAACTAACGTTGCTACATAGTATCCTTGGGTAAAGGGGATTCATGTTTGTTCAAATGAAGGGCCACACCATTTTCCAAGGGGAGATCATTATAAATTAGAGAAAAATTAATGGCATTTTTAAAAAATCTTCTCAAGAACAACTGGGCCAGGAAAGATGAAACTCATGTGAAATCATCCTCAGGTAGTGTAGATTCAAGTTTGTTCAAATCATGACCCCTGGGGCTAGGGTGGGGCCAAAATGGCTGACCAAAGATTTACATAGGAATATATAAGGATACCTTTGTAGCTCACCTGAGCCGAAGGCTCAAGTGAGCTTTTCTGATCATATTGTGTCCGTCGTCCGTCCGTCTGTCCGTCCGTAAACTTTTCACATTTTCGACTTCTTCTCAAGAACCACTGGGCCAATTTTGACCAAACTTGATACAAAGCATCCTTGGGTGAAGGGGTATTTAAATTGTTAAAATGAAGGGCCAAATCCCTTAACAAGGGGAGATAATCAAGAAAAGACAAAAATAGGGTGGGTTCATTAAAAAATCTTCTTCTCAAGAACCACTGTGCCAGAAAAGCTGAAACTTATGTGAAAGCATCTTTGAGTAGTGTAGATTTCAAATTGTTCAAATCATGACCCCCGGGGGTAGGGCGGGGCCACAATGGGGAATCTAAGTTTTACATAGAAATATATAGGAAAAATCTTTGAAAATTTTCTTCTGAATAACCACTGGGCCAGAAAAGCTGAAACTTATGTGAAAGCATCTTTGAGTAGTGTAGATTTTAAATTCTTCAAATCATGACCCCCGGGGGTAGGGCGGGGCCACAATGGGGAATCAAAGTTTTACATAGAAATATATAGTAAAAATCTTTAAAAATCTTCTTCTCAAGAACCACTGTGCCAGAAAAGCTGAAACTTATGTGGAAGCATCCTGGGGTAGTGTAGATTCTAAATTGTTCAAATCATGACCCCCGGGGGTAGCGTGGGGCCACAATGGGGAATCCAAGTTTTACATAGAAATATATAGGAAAAAACTTTAAAATCTTCTTCTCAAGAACCACTGAGCCAGAAAAGCTGAAACTTATGTGGAAGCATCCTGGGATAGTGTAGATTCTAAATTGTACAAATCATGACCCCTGGGGTTGGGCGGGGCCACAATGGGGAATCCAAGTTTTACATAGAAATATATAGGAAAAATCTTTGAAAATCTTCTTCTTAATAACCACTGGGCCAGAAAAGCTGAAACTTATGTGGAAGCATCCTGGGGTAGTGTAGATTCTAAATTGTTCAAATCTTGACCCGGGGGAGGGGGGGGGAACACAATGGGGAATCAAAGTTTTACACAGAAATATATTGGACAATCTTTGGGGTCACAATATGTATTACAAGGGGGAAATCTAGTAAAGAACAGAATGGTCAAAGCTTTTCAGGTGAGCGATGTGGCCCATGGGCCTCTTGTTAAATCTTTTCATTTATTTCAAGGCCATAATTAGTAATATTTATATGGAATCATCCTCAGGTAGTGTAGATTCAATATTGTTCAAATCATGATCCCGGGAGGGGAGGGGGGGTTAAAATTCAAGCCCCCCCAGCCCCCCCCCCCCTTCACCTCAGTAATTTACTTTCAGTTTGATCTGAGATGTGCTTTTTCCTAGCTGATTTGCTCAGGTGAGCGCTTTGGAAGTTCTTGATTGATGAAATTAGAAAAATTGTAAAGGTCTTCAAATTTTTGCCTATACAGTGGAGCCTCATTTATCCGGACGCTTTGGTTCCCAGTCATTTTGTCCGGATATGTGAAGCGTCTGGATACCTGAATCACCAGTAAAACAAGACAATATTATGTTTAAAAATTCCGTTCCCATGAAAAGTCGTCCGGATACTGAAGCATCCGGATATCTGGCGTCCGGATATCTGAGGGTCCACTGTATATCAAACTGAAGTTGAGATAGATTTATTATTAGCAATACAATCTATTAAATGGTATTCATGAGTAATAGCTATGTGTAGTCCTTTTGTGTCATGTCTGTTGGTATTGTGAGCTATTTTTTCATCTTTTGTCTTTTATTTTGTCTGTTGGACTGTGATCATATGTAGATAAACTACATATATTGTTTTCTTGAAACATGCATTAAAATATCAGAAACTTGTTTCACTTTTTCCCTCCAGAAGATATCTGATTTTAGTATTACTTAGGAACCACAAATCTGTACGTCTTCAGTGGATGTTGAATGGATTTAAACTTGACATATTTTATAATTTATAATTACCTGTCCTCATGTAATATTTCAATGGACAACATAGTATTAAGGATCTTTTGGGGGTTAATTTTATGTAAATTTTATCATTGACCTTGTAAATAATGCTATGATATAAAATGCCAGCATTACAGTCATTCACTGACCAATTGCACAATTTAGGGCACAGATTATTTGAAGAGAACAAATCCACCTTGTCATGAGAATATCTTTGTAAGTGCAATCTCTTTTGTTTAGGATACAAGTGACAATTATTTTATGTATATACTTGCCTATAAGTCGGCTTCTTCGGAGTTAAACTCTATGTCTGACTTATGCATGAGATATAAAAAGATTGGTATTTTAGAAGGTCAGTCTTTCTAACATAAGCTTAAGAATACAACCGACTTATAGGCGGACCAACTTATAGGCGAGTATATACGGTATTTATAATATAAGATTATTATATGGGCACAAGACCCAATGCTCATTCAGAAGACCTTTCATATACAAAAAAAAAAAACACATGCATATTCTCTTTACATTTTATGTCAGGCCATCTTTAAAAAATGGGTTGCCCTCTCCCAACCGACTAAATATGGTACTTTTTTTTTCATACCAGGACAGGATATTATTAATTTTTTTATTCTCTTACCCTATTATCAAATATGAGGAAATTTTCTGGAAAAAAATTTTCCTCCTAGCTACCAACCCAATAATTTACCCGAGTTGGGAGAAGGCAATCAAACATTATTTTAAAGATGGCCTCACGGCTTGTGTATAGTGAAATATATAAAGATAATGAACAGTATTCAAGCTCAAAAGTCCGTTAAACAACAGCGTAGGAACAGGGCAAACTCAGACCTCTGAAACATCAGAGATGGGATCAAGTGTCATGGAGGAGTGAGCATCCCCTATCGGCTGGTCAAACCCGCCATGTACATAAGAATAAGTATAAACCTGTCTTCTCTGCTGATTTATCCTCATCACCTACTGAATTTTGACCTCTGTATGCATAATAATTGAGTTTAACTGTAACTGTACAAGCACAAAGAATTTTGACTTAAAAAATCTTTATTTTTTCCTTAGAAACAAGGGTTTTCATATCTTATAAAAAAAATGTCTTCTTTCTTGTTAGCAGAAATCTTTTCCGGCAGCCTACAAACATAAATTAATTAACATAATAATTATTTATTAAAACGTTCAATATAATAATGTACATTCTTATAGATAATAGCTAAAATATTTTTGTTTTCAGGGTATGTTTGTTTTCAGGGTAGGAAAAGTTAACATAATAATTTTTGAGGTTGATACCATTTAATTTCTAAAGACAAAGTACAGAAAATAATATACATTTAATTGTTATAAATATAAGATTTATTAAACTGGGGAGAGGCCATAGAAATAAAGTACAATGTATACACATTAATATATATAATACCAAACGCCAACATGACCTGTAAATCAGAAAATGTTATTTACTGCATAACCTGTCCGACCTGTGATGAAAACTACATAGGACAAACCGGCAAACTGAACGCACGAGTGCGAGTCCATAAACAACAAATTCGGGACCCTAGCGTAAGGAATACGCCGTGCAGTGAGCACT